CAGTTTTTTTCCGAAGCGAAAAAAAAGAAGTCATATTTTGTAAACTTTTATTATTTCAATTGTTATCACAATTAAAATGATCGTTAAAAGTAAAACTGTTGGCCATTTATTATTCTGATAACATTCTGCGGACTACTTTTGTTAGCGGAACATGCTCTCAAATTAGTATATGTGATGCGTCCTTTCTCGTCGTCATTGCATATAGAGACGTTAGTATTGAAACCACTTATGTAGGTAGGTTTCTCGAATTATATAATAAATAGAATCTAACACTCGTGTTCATGTTATATTGAATTTATTGAACTCGTATATTAATTTCATATGAAACTCGCCAAAGGCTCGTTTCATATGAAATTAATATACTCGTTCAATAAATTCAATATAACATGAACACTCGTGCTAGATCCTCTATTTATTGATAATTAACTATATTACGTATTATTGGTAGTTAAATATATTACGTATTATTGATAGTTTACTATATTACGTATTATTGATAGTTAATAACATATTATTGATAGTTAACTATATTACGTATTATTGGTAGTTAACTATATTACGAATTATTGATAGTTAACTATATTACGTATTATTGATAGTTAACTGTATTACGTATTTTACATACTATCCAGTTCATTATAAAGATTAGAATATTGGTGAAAAAACTATTTGCATAAGTTTCTCCTAGGATTACGATTTCTGCGTTGATTTTAAAACTTGTATGGTTGGAGCTTTGTATTTTGTTGTAATAATAGATAATAGAGTCAATTGAATCTGGTCGTTGTACGTAATTCATATTTTGTGTATATTATTGGAGGGATACGATTTCTTGCTTGACATATTTATGAGCAGTTCTTCATTTTTAGAGTTATATCGCTCCATATTTTATCATTATTTATTGCTCTGCAATGACGTACGTCTAGGGTAATAACTGCAGTTTCCATTTTTCCATGGCCCTATATATAAGCCTTTTGTTTTATTACTGTTAACTCTAGCCTCAGATTCTTTTTCAAATATTAATAGAACTTTAAATAGCTGTATCATTTACTCCTCAATTAAATCATCTGCAAAAATAATTAATTTGACTTCATACTTTTATTATCTTGTCTGCAAATTTGATTATTTTTTATCTCTAGACTCTCTAGACATATTGAGCATGCTTGTGGTTCTGATAATTTATTAACAAGTCTGCAGATAAGGGGTGCTTATCACCTGTAGCAGTACCTCCCTTGGACCTGGTGGAGAATAGCCGATAAGCTGTTGACCCCATAGTGCTGAAAGAGCAGAGTGCTGAAAAGCTGTCGCCAACAACCCGGTTCGAACATGAACCTGGACGACTTTGACTGACCCGAAGCTCATGGAAAACCATAGCCTGGTCGCTTAAATGTCCGGAAGTCGGCTAGAGTCGGGAGTCACATCACGTAGGCGTGGAGTTCAACTTACTGCCTGGGCCATATAGAGTTGATGTATACAGTCCAGCTAACCCTAGGTTCTGGAGTTGGATTGATCGATTTGGGGTGTATAGCAGCAGACTGGCACCATTAATAATCCATGTTACATGTTATAAAATGATGACAGTTAACTGCCAAAGGCCCAAATAGTGAAGAGTGAAGCGGTTTCAGTTGACCGAGCGTCAACCAAGGGATGAATGATACAGTGACAGGCAACCAATAAACATAATAATGGTGGTGGTGACTATATGACTGTATAGCTTGACCATCAGAAAACAACTGGGCAGTTGGTTAGAACTGTTAGAACAAACAGTACTTGTCATGTGGCCACGCTAGGTCCTAGGATTTGAGCTCATACTCTTTCCATTATCAGTAAGGAACCAATACCCAATATAGTACATGTAAATTAGGCACAGAGGGGAGACCATCTGTTTACTGTGTTGCCGGCAGGACAGTAAGGTTATGGAAGGTCAGAATGTCCAGCTGGCTGAGCTTTAGATAAGAATAAATTAGTAACAAATGTAAAGCAATTCTTATCATGCTGGACCTGTCAGTTGCATTTGACGCCATCGACCATGATATACTGGAGTACTCTTATGGCGTGACTGGTGATATACTATGCTGGATACTATTTGAGTACACAGCGACAGTGTCTTGCCAAAGGATTTCCACCTAACATGCCTACCCACTAAACTGTTACACTGTGTGTCCAAATTTAATCGTTGTACGGGACGATTTGTTAGGAGTTGTTAGTCTTCAGGTAAGTCTTATAGAACTTTTTTCGAGCATTTTCGAGAACCTTATAAACACCTAAACTGGTGACGTCAGACATTCCATAGACCCGCTGATCGGCACGTGTT